GGCAGCCCCCCCGCTTTATTGTCGCCACGTTGTATTGTAAGTGGTAGGGGTGAATGGAAATTCTGCGTGTGCAGCGAAAAGGGGTTTCGTGGAACAAACAATTGGCGAGTCGCAACAGTTTTGCGCTTGTGTTGAAATAGATGCAACGAAAAGGACAAAGCCCATTCAATGATGTCGCGCTTGGGCATAAGGAAAACTACTCTGTTAACTTTCCCCCCTCCCCCTTCTGCGTCCTTACAATGGACAGGAATGCGAAGGAGGAGTGTACCGTTGCAAGCATGTGCAAAAATTGCGTCTATTTTATTTTTTTTTCTTTTATTTTATTTCCCCCTATTCGACTGCTCATGCGGTCCACATGTAGCAGCTCGATATGATAAACCCTGTCGATGGAGACCACATCGAGCGTCTCGAGACAAACAAAAAGAGACGCGCGCGTGGCGGAATAGTCCTGATTATGAAAAAAAAAAATTAAGCCAAAGGAGCAGATAGGAAAAGTTGGTTAGGACATCCATAAACCAAACAACTGAATTGGGCTAGCGAATTGTTAAAAAAAAAAAAAAAAAAAAAAAAAAAAAAATAGAAAAACAATTAATAAAGGCATCGATTATGTGACATGAATAAGTGAAACAATTAAGAGGAGTAAACGAACATATATATTCATAATTAAACATAAAGATTAATTTCTAAAAATATCTTTCTTTTTAAATATCAATAGGGAAGGGGTGTAAAAAATGTGCACATTAAGAATGAAGTAAATACTAATGTGTGAGATGAGGGACGAATTAAGCAGCACTTACGAAAAAAGCACGCGAAAAAAAAAAAAAAAAGAAAAACAGGGACACAACAAACAATCTTTTCTTTTCAAATTACAAACACAATTAATTCGCTTTTTTTTTTTTTTCTTTTTTCTTTTTTTTTTTTATTCCAAACATGTAGCTTTTATAAGGTGAGTAAAACTCGCAACTTTTACAAATTAGCACGAGGGGGAGGGATATCCCTGCACAAGAGAAATGATCGAATTGACATAAGTAGGGAAATTTGCATCTTTGTGCATTCCCATTGCCAGTACTGCCCTTGGGGATGGCGCACAGGTATATGTGTAGGTAAGGAGCTAGCCAAAAATAAACACGAATACAAAATAAACGCATAAATGATAATTGGTTTGGTCAGGATTCTGTAGACAGGTTGGCGTGACAGCTTGAAGGAGAAGCGGACACAAATCGGCTCGTGAGGTTGATCCACCCACCTCCTCTCTTCCCTTTAACGGTTTCACTGTAAGCACGGAGCCGTACAAACGAGGCAAGACACATGTGTTCACCTACAAGGTGCAAGCGCATATACCCTCTAACACCACCGCTGCTGGGGGTGGTGGCTCTATCTATGCTTCTGCTTTGCCCTCTCGCACACTGATGGCTACTTCGACGAACTTCTTCATCGACTCGTGATACGAGCCCTCGTCGCCAATTATTATGTTGTTGTGGGTCCCTTTCCTCGCGAGGTACTTAAACTTGTGCTTGCTCGGGCACAGCTGCGGGGGGAAACAAGCGGTGAAGGGGTGACACGGTGAAGTGAAGGCGCGATGAAGTGAGAAAAAGGTTGAAGTAACCGTCAGCGCCATCTAAATATTGACGACACGCAGCATGCCGTCATGCACTTAAAGGAGTACCTCAAATAATATCCTCGAATGTTCAGGGGGGATTATTTCGTCCTACGAAAAAGGTAAGGAAAACAAAAAAAAAAAAAAAAAAAAATGGGGCAAGAAATATATATACATATACACATACGCTGCTATGCTTTATGGCATTATGCAAGTTAACACACATATCACGCACGGTGCTTCGTGTGTCTTTCATTTGTTTTGTTCCCCCAGGTGGGTCCCTCTTCTCCTCAGAACTTACCCGTCCCGATGTGTTAATTAAAAGAGGGACGTGTATTTTTTTTATTTTCTCTGCATTGTCCATTTGGGTTCTAATCAATATGTCAAAACTCAAGAGGAAAAAATTCAGGAAGGGGTAGCTCTGCTCCGACATTTTCTTCATGCTAACAAATGTGTTTTCTAAGATCAAGCCGTAAATCTACGAAAAGGGGGGGGGAGGAGGAAAATGGAACAGCATGTTGAAGTGAAATAATGCACGTGAATGTAAGGGGGGAACAAAAAAAGAGACAAATTTCGCGAAGTCTTTTGCCCTATGGCCACACGCGTGAAAGAGGAGCAGAACAAAAAAAAAAAAAGCAATGTAACAAATACATGCAACAACAAAACGCTACCAACGCTGCATGTATGCAGTTAGGCGCCACTCAGAGGGGAGAAAATAAAAAATACTTACGTCCTGTTGATGCTTGGATGCCGTTTCAAGGGCCACTGCACCTCCCATGGAGCTACGTAACAAGGGGGGAGAAGTGAATTGTTATGAATCACACCATACAGAAGAGAGACGGGGCAAATATGTAGCAGGGCCGCCGCCATATGTGTGCATATCCACATGGCCAACACAACACAACACATGTGTTAACCGCTCAGCCGCGGTGTAAGATAAAATTTTTACTTTCCAAAAATGAAGAGCTGCTTGGTATTTTTTTGCTTCAGGTAGTTGAAGGGCACCAGGGCATCCTTGTACAATTGTTCCTCAGATGGATTTCCTTCGTTGGTTCCGCAGCTGGGGGTACGCAAAGGGGGGAAGGAGAAAAATAAAAAGGCCCGTATGCCTAAACGTTGCGAGATGGCGCGTGGACGTGTCTCTCACGTGTAGGCCACTTGTAAATATTGTGTAGATCGTTTGTAGGCCTGTTGGGGGGGCCAGCCTCGTGTGCACTGCACGCCCCTTGACCGTTACTTACCCCCTGTTGGAGCAGGAGAAAATGCTCACGTCCACTCTCTGTACAATCATGTCGAACAATCTGACATACTTCTCAATGTCTGCAGGGGGGGGAGGGATGTTACAAAAAGGGGGGAAAATTTATCGCGGTCGCGCACTAGTGTAGCGGTCGCTCAATAGTGTGGCGGCCATGCGTGGGAGAAAGGAGTGGGGCTGGGTCATCCGCACAGGGACAAATAATGCCACTGGGCAAGACTTGCGAAGCACCACGTGGTACACTCTATCGAAAAATGTTGAAGCACTTACAGCCACCCTTTCCGAGGTAGTAAAGGAACACAGGTTTGTTCTCGTGGTCTTCCGTTTTTACAAACCAGCTGAGAAGAGAGGAGCGAAGAAAAAAATGTGGACACAGTGATTAAGGTAGCGGGGGCAAAGGAGTGCATTTATGCGTTTTCCTGCATAATCACGCACGTACCACTTAAATTTGCTTCCGTCGTCCATATCTAAATACACATCCTCGAAGTGACTGCCTGGAAAGGGAAAAAAAAAAAAAAAAAAAAAAATACCCAAAAAAAGGACGTGAGGGGGATGGGTTGGTAAAGAAGATGGGTGTATAAGTGACGCGGAGGAATCATGTTCATGCAAAACAGGTTGCAAGCAAAGGAGGGTCTACTCCATCATCGAGGCCATTTGCAAAAATCCGTTTCGCAAACTCTACGTGTGCAAAAATGCAGCCACAGCATATTACCATAAGGACGAATTTTATTGGGATTGATCTCTACGTTGTAGGGGGAAGGGGGGGGGGGAAAGGAAAAAAAATGAATTTGTGAAAATGTGGTATTGGAGGCGCAACTACATATACCATTTGGGTGTAGCAGCTGGATTGGCTACAGCGCCTGGCACATTCGTTCAAGGGGGACAAATATGCGAAGAAAATTTCTTTTCTTTTTTTTTTCCCTCTTTGGCGTTACTTTCTTTTGCGAAGATAAGATTGTCTTGGTTGAAATATATGTAGCCTACGAATTGGAAGGAAAGAAAAAGAGTGTGAAAAATGAGAGGGTGGAAAATTTTGCGGTCGATGGTTGTAGGGGGGCAAAACAGGGCAGTGATGTGGATGGGTCTACATTAGCCACAGTCATGTCTGCACGGGACAGTCGCGCAGCATGCAGGAGCATAATGATCATCATGTCGAATGGATTGGACGACACATTTGAACTTTTGTCTTTTCCTGTTTTTGGTAGCTGCTCGTTGAAGCGCCGGACTGATCCTTACCATTCAGCAACAACACGAGGACTACGACCGTAACCACGGGGATCCACACAAACTTGAGTAATTTCATTTTCTTATAAAACAATTGGGGTGGTGGTGGCGGTGGCGACGACCGTTCGAAGAGAGCGACAGGAATATGTGAGCCGTTAAGTGTGCAGACACGTCAGCCAGGGTATGCGCGTATGAGCGTATGACTGTATTGATGTAGGACTGTATGGGCTGATGTGGCCAAGGAGTACAAATTACAAACGCGCGCATGCGACGAAGGGCAAGGGAGAGCTGTAACTTTCCTGTTTGCCCTTTATATTTTTGTGCTATAGCGGAGGAGCTTAACAAACTTGGTTCACATGGAACGTTATGTAAAATGACAAACGTTTCAAATGTGGCGCGTGTCCCACAGGTTAATATGTTATGGGGAGACCTGCTCGAATGCCGTCAGCATGAATGAAAAAAAAAAAAGGGGCAACCTGAGCACTCGCGGATGTTCGCAGAAAAATGCACAAAAAAAAAAAAAAAAAGATAGTATACAACAAAATGGGCTGTTTACACAAATGGGTTTAATACATAATACATTGGTGAAAAGAACAAAGGGGGGTGGTGGCGCGAACACAAAAAGGCATAACAAATACAAAACAAATATGGTTACATGTATGTAATATTTGTGCATATATAAAAAGCAATCTTCCGAGGGGTGATAGTTTTTTTTTGTTTTTTGTTTTTTTTTTTTTTTTTTT